ATTTAAATCAATTGTGATCGTGGTTATTGAACGTTTTCTTTATCACGCTGTACCAGGACCGACGCAAATTGACATTAAAGAGCTCAAACATGAGATCTTCGTCTCCTTACACAGCTCACTTGAAATGAATTTATCGATGTAATTCAATCCGATTTCGCAAAGATTCGTGCTTGTTGCTGCTCAAAAACCCCTTTGAATGTCTCTGAAGAAATGCCATTCCTATTACATGTATTTGCTTAAAACTCAGCAAATTTTTTTGAATACAGCAAAATTTTCTACCCCACCTGTCATTTTGTCTCCTAAAGGGTCAAGGGAGAATCATTTCGCGTTTGCAAATTACCTGAAAAGCCATCACACCTATGTGGTTTCTCTTAACTGACTAAAGCTCTCATTGCATGTGAACTGATCATTAGCGATATGATCTTTCTATCCAGTAAATATAAGCAAACTATTATTTCAATTTGTTCAGTATAAAAAATATATTAGTAAATGCCACTGAATAGGAAGAATCGAATTATTTGCTTTATATAATATGCCTTTAATGGTTACACCAAATCATGTTGCGTCAGGTTAAATCGTCTAAGTACTATTTTAGTAATTGGAGTGAATGTATTCTGAAACTAAAGCGTTATCACCATAAGCTAATGAAATCAGAATTTTTCGATTTATTTTACTATGAATAATGAATCCACTTGAAGGCTGCAAATCGGATTCAAAATCTAATTTACATCTTTGTGATGGCCAATGCTAACTACGTACGTGATGATGGCTAATATCAGCCACCTACTTGTCGACTTCACGGTTAAATAGGATAAAACAGCTTATGCAACTACTGACTAAATAGCGCTAGTATATAAGTCCTACACGTAATAGACAATTGCTAAAATGTAGTGCATAAATTTTAATTTTGAATTTAGCTCAGTTACCAAAAGTTGTGTAAACAAAATCCAGATATCAAGTAATGATTCGTCGACTGTATTCCCTGCGCCCTTTTTTATTTCCTTTTAAACGAATATTCATTGACACTATTTACTCTTCGAACACCAATGTTGGAAATGCAACATTTGAAATGAGAAATTTTTAATTGATGCTAAACTTTTACTAAATGGCGTATGTCAATATTATTCATTTATTTCAAATGACAGGCCTTTTATTGGCTATTATCCGCCCTTTAGCTGAATTCAGACTTCACATAGGGTAGGAAGAACATCAAAGTAAGAAAAAGTTGGGAGGGGGGAAACAGAAGAATGTTTCACAGATGTAAATGAGACAGATAGACACGAAGTCAGAGAAAAGGTAAGATGAGTACTTTGGAAGGGTTCTAATATGGCATACAGTGGGGTGATGGTAGTTTAAATTCAGAATTCAACTGCCGGTTTATAGACTTTTTTGCCGTATGAGTATATGTTACTCAGGGTGCACCACATGGAGGTAAGTCTATCACACAACACAAGGGTGCAAAGGAAGGTCAAAATACACCGGCGTGAAGCAGGCTATTCCTACATTCAGCATACTAGATTGAAATTATTATTATTGAGAAGACGTTTTAAAAACGAGTTATTATAATTTTCCAATAAAAAATAACGAAAAATAAATTTAATCTACCATTTCCTTTAGTATTTTTTTTTCTCGTAAATGACGTAATTTTAATTCTTCGTCCATATTTATGTGTTCCGGAAATATTTCTTTCACAACCATAAAAAGTGGTGGAAATTCATTTTAAATGGTCCCATTTTACCATGTCAAAGGCCTTTATCTAACAATTTGTTGTGACAGATTAAGCATGCAGTAATCTCATAGCAAAGAGAGAAATTGTTTCCACTTATACGATAAGATAATTTATTACTTTATAATTTGGCCAAAAGTTCAATATCCAAAATGAGTAGTAATTTGCCACCCTAAGAACATGAAAAGGCAGATGACGCTTTTCAATAAAAATGGCCAAATCTCCGTGAATAAAAGCAACGAATCTCATTGTCTTCCCAGTAAAAAAGGAACATCTTTTCAATTTTGAATTTATTATTTTTTTCTCGCTTATCGATTCACGAGGTTTATATTTCACTTCACAAAGAGTGAGACGGAAATTTGTCAAGAGTGTTGATTTAAACAATCTTAGAGTTTTGATATAAAGTGAATATCAACTTCGCTTGCTTTTGTCCAATGGTATATCCATTCAACTAAAACAAAATGAAAGAGCCAAGCTTTTTTTCCAATTTTCTTTACTTCATTCAGGATAGTAAGCTAAAATTCACTATGAACGACTTTGCTATTTAGTTGATTTTGAAGTTTGTATAAATCAATCTTGGGGCAGGGTGGTTTAACACTTTCTTTTGAAAATTTTTAAAGATTTTAGATTGATAATTTGAAGCAGTGACTGCTAGCTTTGGCATGAATCCCAATTGCACTCGCTCTTGGGATTCAAAATTGATTCAAAATCAATGAGTGGAATGATGAGCCAATACGGTTTAATCTTGATATCAATAAGTTCAGTAAATTTGTGCTTCCCATTCGATAAGCTCTACGATGTCATTCCCACTCCAGAGAAGAATTGTCGTAACAGCGCTATCGTACCAATAAAGGGACTATTCATTACTTAAAATAGCATTTCCTTATCTCTTTGCGTTAACTCCAATTCGGTCATTTCTCGTGAAATTAAAATTTGAAGTCGATCATTCCGCTTATTGTGTTTACAAGTGCAGTTTTTGACATATAAATCTGCTTATGTTATGTCTAAACAAAAGTGTTTTCAGTATTACCATGCAGGTTATATATTCTACTTGAAATTATAAGTAGAGTAAATATTTTTACTTACTTTCTAGCCAGTCTTTCCTTAGTTACTTAATTGAATTTATGCCCTCCATATAAGATGTAAATAATTTCTCTTATTTTATCGTATCCTTTTTTATTGTCTTCATTTGTTTCCCAAGTAAACTTGCCCTGAGAAATATTTTAATTTTCAACACAATATATTCATTCCAAGGGACCATACAAACAAAATGAATAGGCTAACCTAAGTTCACAAGTAAAAAGTTGTAAAGCCAAAGTTACGACATTATTAAGTGGTACCCTTGACGAGGCAAAACATCGAATTCATTAATTAAGGGATGATAAGAGCAGATATGAATTTGTGCGGACGTAACGAAATCGCCTTAACCACTTCTGGGAATAAGTCAGACTGTAAAATTGTTCAATCGGTTTTCATTTAATTTTTATCTTGTTGAGTTATAGACAGCATTTTCCTTATAAATACTTGAAAGAGTTACTTAACATAATCAAATTTAAAGATGTCTATATTCCAACATTTTGGTCTATTTTGCTGACCTCGTAAATTCTATGCATTATAAGTTAATAAAGCTATTTGTTGTGGTCTATGTTGCTCGGTTATTGCAAAAGTGAGATTGAAGCCTCATACAATTCTATCATTATCATTAAAATACGGCGAATTTTTGGTCAACAATAGGTTATTCCAATTGTTATAAATATCGAATTATTCTTTGGATCATTCATGCACACAGAGGACAAAATAAGACGGGCTTCTGTCAATTTTGAGTAAAACTAAGTGCGTTGAAGGAGAACAGAGAGAAAGCAGTACGCTTTAAAACTATGTCAATAAAATTAAGTTTCTTAAACGAAAGAGAGAGAGAGAAGAGTCGACATGAGAAATGATGTAGTTATTGCTATCTGGAAGATAGGGAAACGATAGACATTTAGTCAATGGAACTAAGTGACCAGTGGTTTTCTCCACACCTTAAAGTAAATAGAAAGCAATTGGTCGTTTTTGTGCAACTGTGTTTAATTATCATTACACATATGCTTGGAGCCTGAAATGAGAGTTTGAAGAAACCTATCGAAGGCTGAGCTAATTCACCTCAGATAAAAGGAAATTCCTAACAGAATAAATATCTTTCTAAATTTGTGGCACTTAGAATCATGCCAAAGATGTGGATGTTAAATGGAAGAGAGAGAGTGTTGTGAGTTTTACACTGGTCACAACATCGCATATGATATAATGCTTTTCCTATTTCAAGGTAATTAGTAATTATATGCCCCTTTTATCCTTGAAATTAAGTAAATACCATTGATTTTATACATTGATTTCAAAATTAAAATGCTCAAGTGACGCGCAGCATATTTTTCACATTAAAGATTAGTGATATTATATCAATAGTACACTGGCAGATCTGTTCATAATCAAACTTTCGTTCACCATGTTACATTCTAGTTGTTATATGAAGCCTTTGCACTCAAATTAAGCAGCACAATACACAACAGTTCATGTGAATAGTTGACCTTTGCAGATGGTTTCACTTCTCAAGATTTGAAAGAATTAAACTGACTATGACACTGACAAGAACGTGCTTCAGAAAGCATTCATTTTTTTGTCCCTTCATGGCATTTTCATTTCTAAAGCATTTGCTTACAGTTTGTTAGATTGGCCAACTTTGGCAAGGTTGCATGCGAACCTAACAAACCTTTTTTCCTCGAAGTGCATTTGCAAGCAAGAGGTTCCATCTAAACTTAAAAAAATAGATTAAACCTAAATAATAAATTATAATAAGTGGAGACAAATTTAGCGCTCACATATGGATTACAAACACAAAATGAAAAGGTTTCACACCTGGAATACACAATTAATGCTATTATATAAAATAAAAATCTGCTTATGGCATTTAAGCTAAAAGATAGTGTTTATTACACTTCAATTTGGAAAGGCCCCAAAAAACCGGGCATACATTGAAAAAATGCTATTTCATTTATGTAAATTACTTTGATTCTAAATTATTCTAAATAATTGGTATTAACGTTAAGAAATAAATATAGTGTGTACTAGCACATTAGATCATAATTTAACCACATATTTATGAAATTGAATGAAACGTGTTAAAATAATGAACAAGTAAATGGAGAAATTTCTCCCAACTGTCATCAAAAATTGTCAGTCACCAGCAATTGAACACATTTTATTGCAAAATTTATATCAATCTGACATTAATGAAAGTCTATTTTTCTCCATCCGATTCCTCCTCCTCTTCCTCTTCCTTTAGCTCTTCTTGCTTAAAAATGAGCATCGACTTGGAAATCGCAGGAAAACCGAAGGCTCCAAGAACGATAAATCCAATGCCAACTAGCACGTCCTCGATGAAGATTATTATCGTGATTCCAAGCACAATCTGCCCTAGCAGTACAGTGACAAGCAAACCGAGGTACTAGAAGGAATGAGCAAGAGAATTGGAGGTACTTACAATGCCTATGGCATCAATATTTGACAGGGTGAAGGCGTAAAATCCGACCAAAGCAATGATCATTCCAAAACCGCCATAAGCAATTATAAAATAATAAAATATTTGCAAGTTATCAGCGATATCATGGTTTTTAAACCTGAAGGAGAAGTACATAATCATAAAGACGCCAGTGAACTAAAGTAAAGAAATTATTCGAGTAAGAAATGAAAACTTCTTACAAAGGTTATCAAACCGAGATTCACCACGATTTGTTTGAACAACTTGCGATTTATCATTGGCTTTGTCATTGAAGAGGTTGACATCTTGATTCAGTTAGATTAGACGTTTGTATAGTTGGCAGGCCAGTGTAAATATGCTTTCTTGTGAGTAATTAGCCAATCTAATTTAGTCACCAGTTAAATACCTTATTATGAATATGAGGGTTGGTTTCCAATGTAAATTATTGGAGCATGGAACACACATCTTCAATCGTATTTGGCAAAAGTAATAAGGGTGTATTGATTTTTTGATGGTCTAGTAATTCACTGAGATATTTTTTCTTGAGTCCATTTAGTAAACACATTTAACATAATTTTGTGTTATTTTTGGATTGAAGTAAGTAAAGGAAAATATTTAAAAACTAATCCATTAGTCCAAGCACTTACAGAATATTGATCATTCTATTATTGACATCAACTGCGGTGTGCGATAGGCTTACCTGCACCTGGTTATCCCTAGGCAGTGAATATTCATACGGTAAAAATGTCAATAAACCATCAGTTGACTTCTCACTTCAAATTACTATGACCCCACAGTATACCATATTCCACCACTTTCGCAGTATTCATCTTGCTTTTTTCTATCCCTTTTGTCTGTTCCCCTCTCGACTTTAAGTGACTTCGCTATCCCCCCCCCCTCTCTGTGAAGCCCGAAGCCAGTTCAAGGACTGATGATAACTATCAAAACGCCCGCCATTTGAAAGAGATAAATAAAGTCTTGACATCAACTGGAACAATATGCTCATGTGATCGCAAGTGGTCTGCACGTGCTTCAAGCGTAAAGTTCACTCAAGGTAACATGGTTGCTATGAGAACTAATTAGTGAGAAATATTGAAGAAGTGGTGGATTGGTCCAGTTGGAGTGGGTACCACATAAAGCACTAAGATCATAGATCCACTAGAAAGTCTAATCGGCAACAGGCAAATATGCGCAGCATCTAGAAGAGTAAGTACAGTTTGTTCCCTCCTCTTGTGTAATTTGCCGCACACAAACCTAGCACCATTTGAATAGACAGTATAGTGCTCGCTAAAATTGTCTTACAATATTAGTGGATATTAAGCAAAAATGCTAGACCATTTCATTCTCCCAAAGCGTACTTATAGCTAAAGACAAAATAAACACAATTTCGGTTTCATTACAAGGCTAACGAAAATTGCCGCCATTCAGTTCAGATGTGAAATCACAGTCCTCTAACACAGCTTACTTGAAATGAATTTATTCATAACACTCAACACGCCTTTGAAAATATTTGCTTTCAATATGTTAGATTGACAAACTTTGACACGTTTGCTAGTTTTAGCATGTCAGACTTAGAGTTATGTCTTTCTTATTCCATGTTATTGGTAATTATAAATCAGTTTTAGCTTTATGAATTATTGAATTTTCGAGTAATGACTGTTGTGGGACACGTCATCGCATGCCTGCACTTCAGGATTCGGAGGTGCGGCCGCCCAACTCTGTGTGCAGCGACCGTACAAACAGTGGCCAATCAGTAGCCTCTGTTTGTTAAGCCTAATCCCCCCCCCATGCTTATCATGATTAAGCTTTATCCACAATATACTGACTGCATAAACGTGTTCCGTGCTATAGGTCTGTTTCCTCTATAACTGGGCTATAGCTTAGCTGGTTCTGAGAGTCTAGCTTGATGTAGGAGAATCAGCCACAGAGATTTCTGAATCAGTCAGGATTTACAAGTGTAGCAATACGCTACACTGTCCAGTTTTTCAAATATATATATATATATATATATATATACATCAACTGATTGAATAATTTGACAAGGACGTTTAGCAGAAGGTGCACAAGAATCCCTTCATCGAATTGTCATTTCTAAAATATTTGCTTCCTTATTTGTACCAAATGGCAGGCGTTTTGATAGTTATCATTAGCCCCTTAAGTTGACTTCGGGCTTCTCAGAGGGAAGGAGCATCAAAGTCACGAAAAGTCTAGAGGAGGGAGGTACAGAAGAGTGTTTTAAAGATGTAAAAGAGACAGGCACTAAGGTAGAAAAAGGTGAGGTGAGAATGTAGAAGCATTCAAATATGACACACAGTGGGGTGGGGGTAGTTTGTAGTTAGAAGTCAACTACCGGTTAATAGACTTTCTTGCTGTATGAGTATACGTTGCCCAGGGTGCACCGCGTGGAGATAAGTCTATCGCACAAACCATATTTGCTTTCCTTATGTCTGGCATGCAAGATCTGATATAATTGCTTGCGAACTTGGAAATTTATCAAAGTGCATTTGGAACGCAGGTATTCAGTCAAAATTTACAAATTAGATTACTTTGCATTATAATTAACTGTTTAATTGAACAAAATTAAGCATTCATAGACAGATTGACCTCCCACAATGGGAAAAAATTCACATTGTACGTTTTTATTTTATACTTTTTTACCAAGCATTTATTAAAATATAGTGCTAGTGTAAAAAAACGCTCTTTTATCGCTTTGCTGCTTAGAAATTCCTAAATAAATCCCTTAAAAATGTGGAAACACGCTTCAAGTTAATGAATAAACTTGAATAACTTTTGTTTGATTTCATGTGATTCCATACAATTAGTGTAAAGAAATAAATATGGTGTTTAATTGCATACTTGAATAGAATATATCCACGAATTTTTAAATAGATTAAATAGTTTTGAAATAATAGTCTAGTATTTCGAAAAATTTAACAATAATCGATAAATTTCGGCCCACTTTCAACATGAATTATCAGTCAGGAGTATTTAGTAAGAGTGTATTAACATATTCACATCGATTCAAAAATAATGAAAGGCGATTTTCTTCAACCCAATTCCTTAACCTCAACTGATTTTGAAAGACTCACCGACTTGAGAATCGCCAGCAAACCGAGAACACCAAAAACGATAAATACTGTACCACACACTGCATCATCGAGTAGAATTACTACCAGGACTCCAAGTGCAATCTGTCCAAGCAGTACAACAACAAGAAAGGCTAGGTACTACAAGACATGAGTAGAAGAATTTGAAGTACTTACAATGCCAATGACAGCATTGTTTGACATCGAGAAGTCGTAGAAACCGACTAAAGTCATGATTAACTCGAGAATCCCATAAGGAATTATAAAGTAAACAAATGTTTTTGATTTATCAGCCATTTTATGGTCAGCAAGGTTAATAGAGAAGTAGACAATTATAAAGAGTCCGGAAAACTAAAATAAAGGAATCATTAGCCTTAAAATACACAATTACTTACGAAGGTAATAAAATCGATATACATTCCGAGTTGGTTGAATGACTTGTGATTAATCAATGGCGTCGCTAATACCTTGGCTGTCATTTTGATGCAAATTTAAATCAGACGCAAGTTGTGTTGGTATTTTGGTATAAATATGCTATCCTAAGGTCAATTAGCCAATCTGAATAAGTCACCAATACAGCCTAAGTTAACACACTAAGAAAATAGTGTTGATTTCGAATTCTAGCGGCTATCTGCAATAATTCGATGAAGTATAATTTTATTTAGAGTACATCTAACGAACTCATTTGACATAATTTTGTGAAATTGACGAAGTGAAGAAAATGTCTGCTTTACAAAAAAAATAAAGATTGTGGACCAAGAAATGCGAGTCCCCAGTCTAGTTTAACTGCACTAGTAGATAAGTATTAATGTAAGCACTTGAGGCTCTATTTAAAATATTTTATTGGGATAATTTGGGTTCTTGAATTCTTTCAACAAAAACAATTGACACAATAAAGTGGAATATGCAAAGTGAAAAAGATTATCTGAAAATATTAAAAAATATAGCCTCTAAGACCCATCAATTTTAGATTTTTCACTTAATTAAGTAAATACTTCATACAGAAATTGACAAAAGCTCATTCCATATCACAAAATCAATTTTCTCAATCGAAATAGGAAGAGCTTGCAATTTCATCATTTAATATCTGTTAAAGTTAATTTCAGTTACTATTTGCTTTCTTATGATGGTTTCAAAAGGGAAATAGGGCGATTTTTCTTTGATCTCCTCCTTATTTATATTTCTTCAATTCTTAATAATGAAGAAAATTGGTATTTTATTGTTGACATCTACTGAGTTTGTGGTCATTATACGTCTACTTTATTATGATGATTCATTTGCATTGAGATATTTAGTGTTCTAGATTCTGTTTGTAATTGGATGGAATTTGTGGAGTAGAGTAAGATATCTGAAAATACTAAAAGGCTGGTCTATAATTTCTATCACTAACAGAAAATTGGTATTTTTATTTTTGCCATCAACCGCTAAACAGTTCATACAAGTTCAGTGAACCGCAGCAAAATGCTCATGTGTTCTCAAGCCGTCTACACGTGCTTGGCACAGCTTCTGCTTACAGTTCACTCACGGTGACATGGTTTCTGTGCGGACTTCTTACTTGAAAATTTTCAAGAAGGGTGCTGGAATGGTCCAGTTGTAATAGATAATACATATAGATTCACTATTAATTATAATTAGCTACTGGCAAATATAAGCACCCTCTAGAAGAGTCATCTAGTGCAACTAGTTGCCCCCACAGTAGGGTAGGTAAAACTGGTATAATTTATGGCCCAAGCAAACCTGCAATCTTAAATTGTAGTTCATGTTATACAAAGAATCTAAGCTACACAACTCCTCTTAGAAGTTCAAATAGCTGTAAACGAAATAAACAACTGCGGACGGAACTCAAGACATTGCCAACAAGCAGGTTAAAGACGACATCTCGGTCTCCTTGTTCAACTTACTTGGAATGCATTGATTTGTTAAATTTAATACGACTTCGTAAAGTGACAGAGTTGTTATGGCTCCACAAACACATAAGTGAAATGATTTAATATTGAATAAAATCAATTCTAAATACTTTTGTGATATAAAACTGTGCAATTTGTAGAATGTAGCAAAGTTTCTATTGAATTAACATCTTATTTCCCAAAGAGCTAAATGAGAATACTTTCTTTTTTACAGTTTATTGTCATGTGGCTTCACTTTACTGGCACACCCTCTCATTGCATGAGAACTTGTCAATATTTAATTGATATTCCTTATCCTCTTTCTAAAAAACCCGATAAAAGCTGTTTATTGTAACAGTTTTTAGCTCAATCTAAGATATCTATTAGTAAAATACCATTGAGGAGGTAGAGATGGATCGCTTGTCTCCGGATAATGTAATGTTCGTCATCACAAAAAAATATGTTAATTCATATTATATCATAACAATTGGAATAGATGAGTTCTGAAACTGGAGCGTTGTCTCAAACTACCAATGAAAAAAGGGTTTGTCAGGAGTATTATGATAAGATCCCTCCACAGCGTTGAAACTTATCAATGGAATACAAAATTGTATTCGTAGCCTCGTTCTTGATGATTTATTTTCTCCACAGTTTGTGCTGCTTACCTCGGAATATTATTTCGTGAATGAACTGCCCGTCGGGAAAAAGTTTTCACATTGCATTATCATCTAAGTGTGATTCCAAGCAGAAGTATGCTGAGGTGAATTAAATAAGCAATTGATTTTAACTTCTGAATAGTGGAATGTACACGAAAAAGATTCTTATTAAACAATAATATAGGCTTGACACCATTTCACAGAGCCGACATCAGTGAATGGAATATGTTTCAAGTTGTTAGTGTAATAGTTTTGAAATAGACGATGCCCTCTCAGCAAATTAATACAGTGGACGCGAAAGGAGTGGTAATGAGAAACAGACGAGGTGGTCCAGTGAACCAATTGTCATATTTTGCTTAAATATTTTAACATTCGATAGAACAATCGTATTTCATATCCTTTTTTGCTGAATCATTATCATTTCTTCTATTCTGACATTCACGTCTTTTGCTTACAATTGTTGAGGTCGTCAAAATGGAATAAAACGTCAAATGTAGTCATCTTTAAATCAGATTTAAAAAAAATCAACCCATTTCACACAACATTTGACTACAAATTCTGTAAAGAAGGCGGAATAATTACATAAAGTCACAATTAGTGCAAAGGTAACCGACCTCACACACTGAAATTGTCCAAACTTAAAGTTGATTGAGAACAGCAAGTTTGAAATATTATCATTTCAAATTATCTGCAAGTCTAGAATTTCTGGGTATGAAATTAGCTAAATTCTGTCTTCACAAGTACTTCCACATTTCCAATTAATTTATCAAGTCATTAATAATTATTAATAAAACCTGCAATTCTTTTCGAAAGTCTTTAATTATGCTGTTGATATATATTCCACAATTTGGTAATACATTCTGTTGTCATGGGATTCAAGCGCTATTACTGAAACTTTGGTTTGGAATCTAGTTTTGAGGCCAAATTTGTTTTCCACGTCACGTTGGCGTCAAATCAGAGTGTGCCTCGCTCCAAAATTTAAACCAAGATCTAATCCAAACGGGTTTCATCTGAATACAAGTGGCCTTTTGCGGTCTTGGAGTTCCAAAACACTTGAGACCCAGATCAAACATCGGCTTTAGACGGTTTAGAAGATCTCGAAAATAATTTGTCTAAATGTATAGATAAAAATAGTTTATGGGAGTGTTTAAATAGAAAACAAATATCTACGCCAAATGGATGATGGAATGAATGCATTTTCAGGAGTGCTTTGAATAAATTGAAACGATATTATGGAAGATTGTTATTAAGCGGGAGGTACTCAAATAAAGTTAGCTAAATCTAAACAAAACCCATCAATGACGAGGGTAAAACAGAACAAAAGGGATTTGGAACGTCTTATTTCACAATGAGCAACAACAATTGCATTTCCTTACCTTCAGGTGAAAAAAAATATTCACTTAGATAACAATGATTGACTAGCACGGAAGCACTTGTGCACTTGATTTTCCTTTGATTGACCTTGGTAGGATTTTGCGCTTCACAGATTTGTCTGAACTCAAAAGGAAATAAACAAATTTTAGGCCTACACTGCTGTAGATACTAAGTGTGGAAGTGCTCCTTTGTCGGGTTCATGGAGAAAATCTAGCAGTCAGACCCCATTTGACAAAAAAGATAGGAATGTTCTATATACTTTACAAAACAATCCTTTTGTATTAAAAAATAGGAAGCAAAATTACTCGAAATTATGGCTAAATCCCACTTCCCCCCCCCCCCGGAAAAAGATAACGAGCTAACTTTTAGATAGCCAATAATTTCTGATTTATATGCTCAAAATTACTTAAATTTCGTCATCTAAAACTTTAATGCACGCATTAAAAGGAATTTATCAATAAATTACTTGCTTAAAGTTGCAGATACATTTATAATATCCGCCTTAGATCCGCCAAATCTCTGATCCTTAGACATCAGAAGCTTACGGCCTTCCACTGCTCATGTCTCATAGTCGCGAGTCTATCAAGGAAACTTTTTGAAAATCCGCAAACTGGAAAGTTGTGAATCTGTGATGCCAACGGAATGAATAAATATGTTCTTTTCCATGGATCACATTTCCATGCACTTTTAGAAGCTCATTAAGTTCTACCTGGGGCTGTATTTATGGTGCATTTGCATATTTTCCCTAGCAACTAAACTAGTAAGTAAACATAACCCTAGAAAACAATTACTTTCAAGAAACATTTTTCCTCCCTCTAGTGAACTATTGACCCTTCACTATTTTGTTATCATTTTTAGAAAAAATAGGGAAATGGGAGAGGAGAATACCCTCAACTCTTGTCTTAAGAATTTCATTTTATTTTTACCTAAAAATTATCCAAAATCAGGCAATTTCTTGAGAATTTCTTTTTTGTATTCCAAACAGGATAAATTGTAGACTGAGTCTCTTTAACCATTCTTATGGTGGGTAGATTTATTTCATAACATTTATTTATATCAAATGACAGGCTCTATGCTAGGCATTATTGGCCTTTTAGCTCACTTCGGTCTTTATAGAGGGTAGGAACATCATGCTAAGTTAAAGTCGAAGGATGGGGAACAGAAGAGCGATTCACAGATATAAAAGAGACAGACAAGCAGACAAACAAGAAAAGGTAAGATGAGTATCATGAAAGTGGTCGAATATGACATGCAGTTGTGTCATGGTATTTAGAAGTCAGAAATTAACTGCCATATGAGTATACGTTGCCCAGGGTGTACCACGAGGAGAAAAGTCCAACGCACACCCCTTATTTCATAACATTAGTTGAATGATAATATGTGGGTAAATGAAGGACAAAATAGTCTAGTTGAATACATTGGAGATAAAATTAGCCTATATACTGCTCTCAATTTGAGAATCTCAAACCTGGCACTTATTGGTTTCTTTATGGAATTTAGCCACTTCTAAGCTTCCGCTAATGGCAGTGAAATTACTCAAAGTGCAATAGATAAAGAACGTTG